CATAATTAAATCCCATGCTACTTTCAGAAGAGTAATTCCCAAAGATTTTTCAAGGTGTGTTTCTTCACCTTTGAAGATCAAGTTGTCCCATTTTGTCAGGGATTTTTGAAGTGTAATGGAGCAAAGTCCCCAAATTCCACTAAAATTTCAGTGGGAGTTGAGCACTTGGGCTCCTGTTAAAATTGTGGCCTTTACCATGTTTTTACTTCCTCCCCAGTCTCATTTGTAATGTTCAAGTCCTGGTCACTACTTGTTACTGCTTTTCACTGCTTCATAGGCATCTTGCATCTAACAGTGATGCACTTCTACTTGCTCTATAATTTAATCAAAATGGAATAAATGTTGATATGTACGTGGTGAACTTGCTACATTCCTGAGAAACATGGTAACACACTTCCCACTTCCCTAATGAAGATGCTTCTTAAACTAGAAGCAATGTAGCCATATTTATGTGGCACTTTATTTGGGATAATCCCTGCTGTTGTGTGACAGGACAAACTAGCCTACCCCTTACTTGTCTTCTTGCATTGTTTAAGTGATCAGAAACTGGTTTAAATCTGTAACAGAACAGATGTTCAGTGCACATAAACCAGTTTGAGGATGGCTGAAACCAGGTTGAGATAAACCTGGTGGAATGTATAGTATCAGACTTAACTGATTTGGGTCAAATTGGTTTGTGCAATGTCTGTCCCAGACCCCTTGCTACTTTAAGATAAACCAGACACCCCCAGCATCCTGGCACAGTCTCTGGGCTGGGTGGGGCTCTCTGTTCCACAGCAGGGCTGGCCCCTCCCCTCTGCTCCCTGGCTGGAGCTCCAGCACAGACTGCAAGCTGCTCCCCTGGGATCTCTCCCCCTCACCACCCCCTGCTAAGTAGGAATTCCCCCCTCCCCTCTGTCTTGCTGAGGAGGTGTCTGTGTATTAGCCAACAGACTACATGCTGGCTAGGGTCCTGCTGGGTCAACAGGTAGAATCAACAGTCAGAATCAACAAGTAGCTGGTAATGTGTCTCTGTTTTCTTAATGTGGTGATAAACACTGTTATCAATTCCCTGCTAGGCTAATCACAGTGACCTGCTGGAGCCTGGCCACACCCCGCTCAGCTCCATGCTGTGTAAGGAAGGGAGGGCTGCTCTAACATCCCCCAGCTTCTAGCCTGAGCCACTGCAGGCATGTGCCTGCATTTCTGGGATGTCTGTCCACTTACAAAACTGATTTAGCCTCACCAGGTTAGACTAACCTGCAATAATTGAATCAATTCAGGCTCAGGATTTTTGAATGTCTATCCCTAGCTCTGGTGATAGGCTGTAGCTGGTAAAATGCAGACAGGTTACCTGGGTTTTTGGTTGTACTAGTGTTGGTCTAAGGTCATAGGCAGGCAAGGTTCTTTGAGCGATATCTTTTATTAGACCAACTGAGTAGCTGAAAAAAAAGTTTTACAGGTTTTAGGCAAGGTTTCAGGCTCAGTCACCCTTCTTCAGGCATAGGGAGTCTCTGCTGGTCTGAGACTCCAAGGAATGAGAGAAGCTAAAAGTGTAACAGGACCTTGTATTCTATCACTCCCTTTGGACTTTTTTTCCCCTGCCTGAATCCCCCTTCCTTACTTCTTTTACCTTTTGTCTTTCTAACTTCTACCTATTTACATTTTCACAGACGTCCTGTTACACTTTTAGCTTCTCTCATTCCCTGAAGAAGGGTGACTGCTCCCGAAAGCTTCCCTTTGGCACGCTGGGAGTTATGCTCTAGTGCACTTCCTCCCCCCTCCCCCTTCCCCTTCCCCTCTCCCACCCTGGCTTCTGGCCTGCGCCACTGCAGGCATGTGGCTGCATTTCTTGAATCAAAAGTGAATGTCTGTTTCCTTTCTTCTCAGTTTAATCTCTGCAGTTTAGACTAACCTGCAAAGATGGAATTGATTCAGCCTCGGGCCTTTTGACAGTCTGTACTTAGCCAATGTGCATCATACTTTAGATAGGGTTTTGTTGAAGGGGACTCCGTGGCATAGTTAACCCACTGAATGAGAAAACAGAAGGGTGAATGTGAGTGGCTTTAATGCTTCTGATGGTATCACACTTATGCAGGAGATGACCCTTCCTAGGATTTTTTTCTGAAAAACAATGTTTTGCCTTTTTGTTTTCAATCCTGTTTTCCTAAACAACCAGTATTTTAAAAATAAATGAACCTACTTCAGTGCCCTTAAAAGGACAAATTATCCAAGCTTATAATTGCATGTTGTTGGGCAAAATATAAACGTGTCCATCAAAGTACAGCTTAAAATAAATTTGTCTCCCTGGACCTGCTGCTTCATACCTTGGTTTATGAGAAAATGGTTTTGATTCAGTGGAAAAACCTTAAGATTTCCCCACCTCCTGTGTAGGCATATGAGAAGGAGATTTATCCTAGCCCAAGAGAAATACCAGTAAGTGCTTTGTTTAAAAAAAATACAACCTCATCTCACACTAATATGATTTACCCATGGTCCCACAGGCTAGTTCTATATGCTGTACTTACCAGCTCAGCCTCAGCACCCTCTAGGATGCTGCCCTGCTGCTTTTTCTAGCTGGTTGTATAGTCAACTCTACACAGAGCTTGCAACGGAGCCCACAGGCATAACTGGGCACCTGGCTGCAGGTGCTCCCGGAGCAGCATCTTTGAGTGCACTTGCACTAGTACAGCAGCAGCAGCAATACTGGTAACATTTGGTGTACTTTTTATTTAAAAGTAAGTCTTAGAAGAGCATGCATCTCTTAAAAAGACAACCAGGGATCTTCACACTTCATCACATAGAGATAGTATTTGATTTTTAACAGGTAACTAACTCCATTTCAAATTTAATAGGAATAGGTTTACAATCATAATCAAATCCAGAGCCTACTTCCTTTATTTATGGAACAGAACATCTAATGTGATACTGTTACTGGGTGCATCTACATGTGCTTTTAAGTAAAATACTGCATAGTAAGCCTTCCTGGGATCATGTCTACACATGCTCCCTCTTGGGAGCAGATTTGCTTCCAATAGGAAAAACCCACTACAAGGCTGCTCCCACACTACTCTGCTCTCCTGCAGCAGCCTGGGGGAGCTTCAGGCTCCTCTCAGTGCTATCCCAGGGGCTGGCAAGGGGCACGGGGCCGGTCCCGTGGACATGAGGCCAGAAGAGCTCTGCCAGCTGCAGTGGCAGCTGTCTTCTGGCAGATCGGGTAGGGATCTTATGTGCACAGGGCCAGGAATGAGCTGCCTCTGCAGCCAGCAGAGCTCTCCTGGCCCCATCCCCACTAGGACACACAGCTGCCAGCAAGTCCCGTGATGGGCAGGTCTTCCCTGCCCAGGAGGGAGTTGCTGGGAGCTGCCAGTATGCTTCCTGCCCAGCCCTCCTCTTTTCCACTCTGGCAGCTGTCCTGCTTGGACACAGCTGGCTGCTCTGGGAGTGGGCAGCAGCTGGGAATCCCAGCCCCCACCTGCTCAACAGAGCATCCAGCTCTGCATGGCATGGAGCTGTTCCAAGGAACAGGTGAGGGCTGGATTCCTATTCCCCACCCACTCCATGGAGCAGCCAGCTCCATGCTGGAAAAAGATGCTCAGGGGGACAGGCAAGGCCTCGATTCCCAACCCCCACCCATTAATTAGCCTACTGCACAGCAGAGTATCTCATGTAGACACATCCACTATACTCTAATTGGTCAAACATATAACCACTTATTTTAGATGCATTTTCATAATGGGTTCTCCCCTTGGTAATATTGTGTATATACACTGCTAAGTTTTTATCTCTAAAGGTTTTGAAGGTGTAATCCAACATTTGGCAAAAGCAGTCTTTCATGAATAAGCTTGACTGCTCAGGACAATTTAAGACACAATTTGATAAGTTTAAAATAGATTATGTGATGTGGTTACCTGTGATAGAAAGGGACCAGGTTAAATTCATTGCTTCATAGGAACTGGTTTAACCGTATGCATATTTTCTTCAATCAAGGTAGTATGTACTATCAGAGCTGCAGGTCTGGTTCATAAATTATACTGTGACTGTTTAATACAAAAGTTGCTTTACTCTTTTAGTGTCCCATAGGACTTCTTGCAAAGAATGTCTTCAAATGTGTGTTGTGGTTGACATTGTTACACTGTTTAAAATTCCCGGGGACTTTTCAAATTGTCATAACTAAGCACTTCTTTATGGAAATAGTTCCATGTTAGGCAGTGAGAGTATATTTACAAGAAAGAGTTTTCAGAGGCAGGTTGATTGAGGAGTTTTAATTCCCATTGCACTCCTTATTCCAGAAACTTCAGGCTAAATAATCTAGGGCTACAGTTAAGGATAGGGTAATTGACTGGTATTTCTAATAGAGTTCAACAAAATAGTGAAATAGTTCCAGGAATGATTATTTCAGTTCTTAAATATGTCTATTTTAACCACTCTCATGCCCATTACTGTTTTACTGAATCCATCCAGCAGACACATAAGAAAAAATATTTACTCTCGAATATTAGTCAGAAGTGATTTTCAGTGTCACATGAACAAGTTTTGCAGAAAACAAGGTTAAATTTTGAACATGCAGGTGGGTGTCCTTGGTGGAAGTGTTTGCCTGCTTAGGTAAACTGCCACTTGAGCTATCTGATCAAAACTAAGCAGAACTCAAGCTCTGTATGTTGGGTCATAAGGTAAAAAAAAAAAATGTAAGGTCAAAATGAAATAAACAAATTCAGTGAAACAGTATTTGGCTTCTTGACACTGTTGTAGCAGAAAAGGGATAATTCTTTGATCTACTGTTACTTTTCGGTTAACCTTTTGGTTTGCTTTATAATGGGAAGAAAGGAAGAGGGAAGAGGGGATTGAAAGAAGCCTTTTCACACAATCCATTTAATATTCAAAGGGTTTTCCTCCTTGCTTCTTGAAAAAAAGGCTTAATGTAGAGGAGCTGGATAAAATGAACACTTTTGGTGGAGTTGGAGGGACATTATTTTTGCTTATAAGCAAAGGAAATATTGTTAATTGTTTTCCATCATTAGGGCTCTAGGTACCAACCCCTTGCACTGTGACTGCAGCCTGCGCTGGCTTTCTGAATGGGTGAAAGCAGGGTACAAAGAGCCTGGGATTGCACGCTGCAGTGGGCCAGACAACATGGTAGACAGGCTGCTGCTTACCACACCAACCCACCACTTCCAGTGCAAAGGTAGGAGCAAGCCGTAAACTCTCCTATTGCCTGTTGTTGCTTAATAAACAGGTTTATTGTTACACTGCTACTGAATTTTAAATGCAATTTAAAAATATATATAGCCTATTCTTTGTTTGCCTTTTGGTTTCATTTTGGTTGTGCTTTGGGTTGCATTCTAGTTACTCTTTCAGTTTTTCCCACATAGCCTAAAGCCGGATATTTGCTTTAATTAAAAAAAAGAAAGAAAAATTGGAAACTCAGATTATCATGTAATTGTTTTACTAGAGAGGCTTTAATAAAAACACCAATCCCTGGTATAAATAGGAAGACTGCTGCCATATCAGACAGATGACAACCTGCCCCATGGGATGTTATTTCACAGCTATTTTATCAAATAATTTATTTCAGACACCCCCAAAAAACTTGGTTAAGCAAAGTTTAGTGTAGTAGGTAACACTAATATCACAAATGTAAAATACTGGTATATAGATAAGCTTGAAAGCTGTTGAAATTGAAGGTTTTGTTTGAAAGCCAACATTCTAATATTAAAAAAGCCTTAACCTGTCTGCTTGTCTGTCTGTCCGTAACACTTTATTTGCGCTCTGATTGGCTGACGAACAGCCAATCAGAGTGCAAAGAAGCATTCCGAAACAGCAGCAGCTGGGGAAGAGGAGGACCAAGACTCCTCCCCATCTCGGGTCCGGACCCACTTCTCCCCCACCCCCACCCCTGCGTTGGCCCTGAGCCTGCTCCTCCCATACGTCTGCCACCACTGGGTCAGCCCGGGCCTGCTGCTTCTCCCCCTGCTGCAGTGGCCTGACTTCTCCCCACCCTTAGGCCCGGTCCTGCCCCACATTGGGCCCGGGCCCGTTCCTTCCCTCCCCTCCCCCCACTGCTGTGGTGAGGAGTGGGGAGTGGGCCTGGACCCCAAGCAGCAGGAGGGAAGAGGGGAGCGGGCCCAGATGGGGGGGCACAGGGCTCCTTCCCCACCCATTCCTCACCCCCTGTCATTCTTGACGGGCAATTGGCTAGTTTGACTATAAGAATATTTGTACATGACACAACTTTAACTCAAATCTCATGTCTGTTTAGTATTGATCACTAACTGAATGCAGTGGATCAGTGTTTTGTGTCCTAACTAGAGTGTAAATTCAGGAGCAATCTAGGTGCAACTCTAATGGTGAGCTTTATGAGCAATTATGTTGCATTCCAGGAGCTATATAAATAGACAGCAATTGTGGATGAGCCTACTTCCTGGCTATTTGTGGAATTGTGGATAAAGGACATAGTTTCAGGCATGCACATTGAGACTGTAATCATGATTCTTACTTTCAAAACTTGTTGGAGTGCAGAAAGTTTATTCAGGATACTAGCCCACATGTGAAGTTGGAGATTTGAAGATGTCTTTTTGCAGCAATGGAAATGAGGGTCTGTGGTCTCTGTTAGAAATGCTGATGAAGGCATTAGGACATTATCTTTGTATTTGTCTGTGAAGAACCATGCACAGTTATACTATGTAATGATAAATTATATTAAAGTTCCTGCCTTGGCATGATAGTTGTATAATGGCTGGAATTAAACTGCTGAATAGCTAAAGATGGTGTTGTTATAGGAATAAAGCCAAGTTTGTTTCCCAAACCTGAATAGAATTTCCTGATTTTCCTGCTACACTTTTAATGAGTGGCATTCTAATTTAGTTTTATTTAAGCTGATAATAATTATATGTGTTCTTAAAGCTATCAAAATGCACTGCTTTTTTGCTGAGTTTTTAACTTCATGAACAAGAGGTACAAATATCCCTAAATAAACCTCCAAAAATAGGCTGACTCTCAGACTAAAAATGAAGGAAGCTAACATGGAATTCAAAAGCATCTTATATTATAAATATAATAGTAGAATTCAGATTTTTTTTTTTTTTAGTTTTGAAACTAACATATTTCTGTAATGTTTTGACCCCTTGATGTCAAATTCTCCCCAAAATATTCTCTTGGGGTTTCCCACTACTGGACTCAAATTGTAGTCTGAATAATATGAGATAGTTGGTAGGGTCAGAAGGGACCTGAGCAGATCATCAAGTCTGACCCCCTGCCATGGGCAGGAAAGAATGCTGGGGTCAAACGACACCAGGTAGGTGATTATCTAGCCTCCTTCTGAAGACCCCCAAGGTAGGAGCGAGCACCACTACCCTTGCAAGTTGGTTCCAGATCTTAGCCGCCCTGACTGTGAAGATGTGCTTCCTGATATCTAGCCTGAACCTGCAGATGTTTTTTCAAGTTGCAACTTACTGTATTGGGATAAACAGAACATCAAAATAGGCATATATGAGAAAGCAAATTGGTTGGAGGATCCATTGTTGGATCCACCTATGCCAAGTCCTGTGAAGTGCCTCTACAAACAGAGGAATTTTTCCACACAGATAAGATCGCAGAATCATCCTCATAGACCCTGGTAGATCTCCATAAAAATGTCCACTAGGTCCAGTGGAATGAGACTAAGGTGCTATTTTTTCACTCTTCACTTCGAATATTCATCTTGTGTTTGAATAGCCAGCTAGTAATAGCAGTTGAATATTGTGCATATGTGTAAAGTTTGTTCTAACTGAAAGTTTGAGCAGCTTTCTCCTATCTTTGGCATATTTCTAGCTGCTTTTCTGGGCCCCCCTGTACAACTGGTGTATAAACATACTGCCTACAGGTCGGATCTGACACAAGCCATAGCAACACCACAGGAAGGAGCACTGTGGCTTGTTTCCCTGGTGGCAACAAAACACCAAGGATGCCAGGCATCTGGTCCTGGACCCGAACCGGAGGAAGTGTCCATAGTCCCAGTCTGGGGATTGATCCTGTACCTCTCATCTGGCTTATGGAGCCAGACAAGTTTGACACCCCTGCTGTACAGAATAGCAGTGCAGCCAGGCAGAGAAGAAAACAGCACTGATCTAGCAGCAGTGTTTGGACAAACAAAGCAGTTGTCTAGAACAGCAGTTGGCAACATTTTCAGGTTGTGGCCAGAATGACTTAGCTCTGATGAGAGTCAGGTGGTTAAACTTGTGCTAGCCCATGGGCAACTGGTGCCTTTTGGGTCAGGATGGGACACATCAGTGACACCAGTTAGCAGTGGGTGAGGGGGGGTCCCCTGGAGGCCACTCACACTGATGGGGGGGATGGGTACCGCTGATCTCACTCACCAAAAAGCGGCTGCACCGCTTCCAGAAGTCCTGCGGCCGCTTCCAAAAGCAGCACGGCCACTTCTACTGGTGGTCCTGCTCCCTGGCCAGCGCTCACAGGGGGAGCACCGGCACTCACGCCTGCTCCCCAGGTGATTGCCTAAACAGGGAGTGTGGCCTGACAGAGGATGCACCAGTGCTCTCAGGGAGTGCACGTGCACCCCCATGCACTCACTACGCCTCACCACTGGCTAGGTCTCAGCCATAGATTCGTAGATGTTAGGGTCAGAAGGGACCTCAGTAGATCATCAAGTCCGATCCCCTGCATAGGCAGGAAAGAGTGCTGGGGTCGGATGACCCCAGCCAGATGCCTATCTAACCTCCTCTTGAAGACCCCCAGGGTAGGGGAGAGCACCACCTCCCTTGGGAGCCCATTCCAGATTTTGGCCACTCTAACTGTGAAGAAGTTCTTCCTAATGTCCAGTCTAAATCTGCTCTCTGCTAGCTTATGGCCATTATTTCTTGTGACTCCCACGGGCATCTTGGTGAGCAGAGCCTCACCAATTCCCTTCTGCACCCCCATGATGAATTTATAGGCAGCCACAAGGTCGCCTCTCAACCTTCTCTTGCAGAGGCTGAAGAGGTCCAGGTGCCCTAGTCTCTCCTCATAGGGCTTGGCCTGCAAGCCCTTAACCATACGAGTGGCCCTTTTCTGGACCCTCTCCAGGTTATCCACATCCCTCTTGAAGTGCAGTGCCCAAAACTGGACGCGGTACTCCAACTGCAGTCTGACCAGTGCCCGATAGAGGGGAAGTATCACCTCCTTGGTTCTGTTTGTCATGCATCTCCTGATGCACAATAAAGTGCCGTTATCTTTGCTGATGACTTTGTTACACTGACGACTCATGTTCATCTTGGAGTCCACTAGGACTCCGAAATCTCTTTCCGCTTCCGTGCTGTTGAGCAGGTCATTTTCTAGGCAGTAGGTGTGCTGGGCATTTTTTCTCCCTAGGTGCAACACTTTGCATTTCTCCTTGTTAAATCGAATTCTATTGTTTTCTGCCCATTTGTCCAACCTGTCCATGTCTGTCTGTAGTTGTTCCCTGCCCTACAGTGTGTCAACTTCTTCCCACAGTTTTGTATCATCTGCAGACTTGGACAGAGTACATTTCACTGCTACCACTTATTCTCTCCGTGTCGGCACCAGGAGAGCTGCACAACAACCACTTCTCCCTGTAGCAGCATGGGGAGAGCTCTTGCTGGCAAAGCCCCATGTCTGCAGGAGGATCAAATGGCTCTGTGGGCCATGGGTTGCTGACTCCTGGCCTAGAGGATGACAGTCACTGCCGTACAGCTTGTGAGCTTTCATAGAATTCACGTCTCTCCTCTAGGAAAAAATGTAAAGATTTGTTAGTTAGCAAGAGAAAGCCCTTGCTCACATTTAAGTCTCTAGTGCCAGTACAAAGTTCAGTTGAAGTTAGTGCACCTCCTTATATTACATAAGTAACAAGGGCGATGTGTAGGGGGTGCATGCAGGTGCACATGCACCCCCTGAGCATGGTGGTACACCCTCTGCAAAAAGGCACTGCCGACACTGTTGGCAGTGCCTGCAGGCAGTCACTGCTCGCCACCCCACCACTGGCAGTGTCTGCAGGTGGTCCACGATTCCTGTTGGCCGCCATCACTGCTGCTGGCAGTGGCTGTGGGTGGTTGCGACCCTTTGTCAAGGCTTGCCACCCCCTCTGCTCCCCGTCACTGACAGCGCTGGCGGCATCTGTGGGAGTTCCACACTTATCGCCTCCACGCTCCTGCTGCCACCGCCATACTCCTGTCACTGTTGTACCCCCCAGCC